TAATATTTAATTACTTAAATTAACTGCTCTAATAGCTCTGCTAATATAAACTATAACTAGTTTATCCCTTGGGAACCTAGCGTTACACGTCGAAGACTCCTATTGGACCTTCCGTGCAACAGTCGTTACACCGCCCACATCGCGATGCCCTTAATCGGCCACAACTAAAACGCGAAAATAAATGAATATCGCGTATTCCACACGATTATATTAAAATTACATGTAAAGGCGTGGCAGACGGAATGTATGTGTATTAAGGTTTAGCGCAATGTGGGCTACAGCGCTCATGCATACAGCTCCCAATAGATGTACTCATATACATTGTCGTATATCTTGCCCTGCAACCTTTCAACATCGATCAATCCAGGGAAAAGGCAAATGTGTCTCGTCAGTCGAACTGATGGCTCTATCCTAGATAAATATTACATGTATTTTTCGTGAACTGCCTACAACAGTACTTTAGCAGAAGGCACCACTTTCTGTTAGTACACGGCCCTATTGCAATAAACCACTGCTTTCCTTTTACGGATCGATTAGCCGTTATCACACACATCCCATCAGACCAAGGCTACAGGGCATGTAACGGCGGATATGGTAACAGTTGGTGTGGGGTTAGGCCACAGCTCTCAGCCCGCCAGCCGATTGTGTCGGCGCTAGAACGTTTGTGGGAAAAACACCCTGCAGATAGCAAAAGCCACGAGGGGGGGACGAGATAAGACAAGCCACGTCCTCCGATGTAGCATGAGATCATTATAAGTCCCCGCAGTGCAATAGCTACCTGGTGCATGTAGCCCCTGTACGGCGAAGAGTAGGCAGACGGTAGACAAGACTATCATCAATCCATCAGTGGCCAGCCACCGGCTAATCTGCACGGGTAGGACATCTCTCATACTTGTGGTAATGACGCTGGGTTATGAATGAGTGAGAAGCCCCAGTACTTTGACTTTGGCTGGCAATGCTCACAGCAGCTACCTACCCGTTCAAAGCTGACGGCAATTATTGTCTGAAGCGACGCCCTTTATAGGACTACTGTCTGCCTGAAACGTCTTCGCTAAACATTAAAGCCTACTCGATCGACCTTTCTCATTTCCTCGGTGATTCGGAATGGCTGTCTCGACGTATAAAATAGAGTCCGCAGATGACAATCTTGTCGGAAAGCGCGAGCTTGCTTCGACCGGCCATACTAATGATATAGACGACCTCAATGCGCTCGGCTACAAGGCCGAGCTGCAGCGCAACCGGTCCATGTTTACATTGCTCTTCCAGTCCCTCGCCGTGGCAGCTGTAAGTCTCCTTTTACGTATCTATTCTGGCCGCCGAGGTACACATGGCTTGGTTCTTTAATAGTTGACCAACTTAGATTCCGTACGGCTTTGGTTCGACACTTATAAATGCCGTCTACGGTGGTGGTCAGTTGAGTCGCATACATCACGTCCGCTTTGTCACTTTAGTAATTAATTTCTTCCCCAGGACAACTGGCCATATTCCTCACCTGGATCGTAGTCTGCCTTCTCGATGAATGCATCGCTATCTCCCTGGCAGAGCTTGCGGCGAAATACCCCACGTCTGCCGGACCGTATTACTGGTCCTTCCAAATCGCCGGACCGCGATACCGAACCCTCCTTTCATTTATAACGGGTTGGACTTGGCTGATTGGTAACTGGAGCATAACGCTCTCTGTCAACTTTGGCTTCGCGTCTCTGCTGGCAGCCACTGTGAATATCTACCACCCCGACTACGTATGGCAGCCGTGGAAACTGGTCATGATTTGTTATGGGCTATGCCTTGTTACCTTTGTCATCGTCGCATTTGGAAACAAGTTTCTGCCGACGGTCGATACATTTTGCGCGGCATTCACCGCCCTCACCATTATTGTCGCCTGTATATGGCTTTCGGTAAGAGCCAAAGATGGCCGGCATTCTGTATCATACACACTGGTACGTCCAACACTCTTCGGCCAAGGTGTATGCATTAACATGTCATGATTTAGGGACACTACGATGACACATTATCTGGCTGGGGTGGGTTCTCTTTTTTTATAGGGGCTTTACCACCATCGTACACGTGAGCGAGATCTACAGTCGTTCATTTCATAACTTCTTGTTTGAGCTAACATGGAATCAGATTCTCTGCGATTGGAATGATTACTTCCATGGCCGAAGAGTGCGGGGACGCGACTATAAAGCTTCCCCGAGCCCTTGCACTGGCCGTGCCAGTTGGATGTATTGCAGGGCTATTCTTTGTAAGTGCCCGCACCAGAGACTGTAATTGAGCATCTGATTAATAATCTTGTAGGTAATTCCGATCTGTGCAACACTCCCGGACTTGCAAGACATATTAACTGCGCCGCTCGGCCAGGCCATCCCGTACATCTTCCTCCGTGTCCTGGGTAGCGAAGGCGGAGCACTAGCTTTGACTGCGCTGATTCTCGTAATCACCGTACTCTGTTCCATATCGATCACTGTTGCCGCCTCAAGATGCACCTGGGCATTTGCACGCGACAACGCTATTCCGCTGGCCGGCGTTTGGTCCAAAGTCAATGATCAGCACGGCACACCGATTTGGGCGTTGACCCTCACAACCTTGGTCCAGATGCTTCTCAGTCTGATATATTTGGGGTCGAGCTCTGCGTTTAATGCTTTTGTATCCGTTGGGGTAGTTGCACTTGCCGTATCATACGGTTTCCCAATTGCCCTGTCTATGCTTTCGCGCCGAGTGGGCGTGAACACGGCACCGTGGAGTTTCGGAGGCAAATTCGGCTGGGTCATCAACATCCTTGCACTCGGCTGGATCTCATTCGAACTCGTCTTGTTCTCCATGCCTCCGGCGATTCCGGTGAGTCCATCGACGATGAACTATGCCATTGTCGTGTTTATTGGCTTCATGATCATAAGTGCTGTGTGGTATCGTATTCATGCTCGACACGGTAAGTACTACGCATAAATAGTTCAAACGTGTGCCATTGCTAACTTGTGAAATAGTGTATAAAGGCCCTCCGAGTTCTGATGGTTTAACTGCCAAGGCTCAGTGATGGAGGTGACTTGCCAGTAAGTTGTGGTCGGCACAGGAGCCGGTGTAGCTGGGTCGTCGTCAATCATTTATATATAGTTCCATCGGCGTTATCATTGTACAACGATTTACTTGCTTTTATTTCTTTTGGAATTTAATCTACTTGTATAGCTTTTGCCTAAAAGGTGCCACATATCAATTAACCTTACAACTACAGACTGTGTGTAGGCCTATTGGGCGGATAGACGGCAGCCAAGCCAGTGTCTGGTAGCATCCAAATTGCTGGACTTTGCAAGACACCTAACCTTACCGCGCCATAAAGCTGTAGTCTAGATAGCCTCCTCTTCCCTCCTCCTTAAGGCATAACTACGTTATTACTAGCACTTTAGATTCGCCCCGTAATACAAATTATGTTTTCTATTATTTAGCTGAAAGTTAACTTTATATTATTCTATAAGTTTTCTTAATATAAAAGTTTAATATAATAAGTTTCTTAA